GTCATGCACTTAACTGTATTGACGCTATTAAATGCTATCCAACTTCTAAAATAGCGGAAGCTCTCACCATTCATGAACTGAAGCCAGAATTATGAGTACGAAATAATTACTTCCTATCGTTGTCGTTACCCTGGCCAGTCCCCCTATCTCTGTCTCGTATTCTCGTTATTTTATCCATAATTGCGCAGGATATCAATTCATTTGTTTCACGGCTCTATTACCATTAATTATTTTTAAATGTTGTAGCAAAGACATCTTAATCATCCTAATTCATTCAAGTTATAGTTCGTTACTAACTTATTAAATCTATTGTTATTATTGACACTACGTAATCTAGTATTATAATCTTTAGTTTTTATCATCATGGTTGTTCCTTGTTCACATGTTCTCACGTAACTAGTACTTTAACCAAAGATTTTCATATATAAGACTATACGGCTTGATAATAAGTTCGTCGGAAAGGGATCCCTTCGCTAAACTTCGTGCCTTTAATGCTTGACTTGGAATCACACTCAATTTTCAACTGCGAACTTTCCTAAAATGTACGGGGAATGTGCCCCTATATCAATGACGGAGAACAGTAGCAATCAGTTCACACAGTCACATCTAAAACTAGTATTGAAACCGCGGAAGGAATGGATACTGTAAAAGAGAAATGAACAGTTATTAAATGACTCGACGACATTAGGAAGTCAGTTACAATCCTAAATTTATAATAAATGTCGCAATAGTGATTATATGCGAACAAAATTAGGAACGAATATACTAAAACATGAAGAGCAATAGAAGAAACGATACGTGAAAACAAGTAAACAGCCGCAATGCAAAACATGCATGAAGGGATTTACTTATATTTTGACAGAGGGATTTATCAAGATGAATTTAACAATGTATGAACTACTGAATTCTTTAAGAAATCAGTGTCTAAGCTGGTCGGGGGAAACAAGTTTGAAGGGAGAAGCATATGGATCCTATCATATATACTCACTTCAATCAGCATGAATATATGCAAATAAATGCGGATTTTACCAATCTAAATAACAGTACGTCTGCCAAATAGTTAATCTAAAGACTTATTTAATTTGAACATGTGTAACTTGTGTATAAAAAGGGCACTGTGGTATGACAAATACCAAGGCACAGAACTTAGCATGTGTTTTAAGGATGAACAGAGCCTAGAGAGCCTTATGTCTACGTCAGTATTATGTACATTGATCTTTTCTACTATAGAAATGGACTCAATCCCAATATTTTAGATTTCTCACGATGTAACTACCTAACTTATAAAATCTTACATGAGAGTCACATCATAGTCTATACCGACTCGTCTTACCGTAACAGTTAGCAATCTGACACCTAGCACTTCAAAAGGACACATTCGGGCTGGGAAGCGAGTAATGTATTTGATACAAAAAGCAAGAGGTTAAATACAGTAACCACGCCCGCATGGTTGAGCCACACCATACCAATCGAGTCTCTGAGTTCACCAGTTTTTACCTTCCATAAGTGTTAAGAGCCAAGTCCAAATCTTCTCACTAATCATGTACTCATCTTCAAAGATCGTGTGTTTAACAATCAATACCACCACAGACCTTCCGAACATTTTGTTTTTGCAGATGTAATCAATCCGGTTACCTGTAATTTGGTCCGATGAAACTCACGTAGCCCTGTGTGCGTGCTTGTAAGGGAATTTCTTACCACCTGTGAGCACATAAACTCGCACATTTCTCACAATCTTCGTTCCTTTCTCCCAGTCCAAGCCGTTCAATGACATCTGCCTACACAATGCTGTTCAGTCATGAACTTAACCATTATCTTCTCTCCTTTGGTCAATGTGGGGGTCATGACACAAGACGAAATCAGCTGTAATCGCGTCCCTCTTCTTTGTAGGATGCTTATTCCAAGCATTGCCAGGTTATGTCTCTCCATGTACGTAGTTATTTAAATGACTCCTCAAGTCTCTCACATTGTCCGGAAATCCTGTGTATCTACTTTAGTTATTAGTTTGATTGCTAGAATGGGGATTAGCCTCGTGACATCCGAAGAATCTAGTGTTTCACCATGGGGCGTCATAATTCTTATAAATGAAGATAATTCAACTCCCAGGGCAAAGCTCAAATGCTTTAAATAACGTTTCACGGTTAGCTCTTTCCTGGCAGGGTTGTTTTGTAAGGGATGAGGTGGTTAACCATTTACCCAACACTGTTCCCATCTTCGTGTTCGGGACCGGCAGTAAACCTAGAATTCGAGGCTGTTTGGCTTGTCCTACCTACCGATAATATCATATCATCGAAATGCACTATCACTATAGAGTTTTCGTCCCTTAAAAATATTAACCTATTGGGTTAAGACCCTGAAATCACCTTCCGACTACGAAAATTCTGGGAATATAGACTATGTTAATATACTGGACAACGGATTAAGGGAACTCTTACAATAATAGGCTTATATGCTTCCGGATGTAAAATACTAAAAAATCAAGCATTTTGAGTCTGTCAAATCCTTTTCAGAAGATTGCTCTTTATCTTCGCTGTTTTGTTCGAAAAAACGAAGAATTATCTAGCATTTATATAGCACAAGAGTTCATTTTTTACTGGAAAATAGTCTTCATTCTCGAAAAAGCAGACGCATTTATTAACCCTCAAGTTCTTTTATTCCTTCAGTTGACATTCTGTGACGTGACTGTAAGAAAAGTTTGGGGGTTAAGAGTTAATAGTTACGCGTCTCCGGGTTCAGAGTGATCAGGAATGCTCTGACCCCGGGTGGAGGCTCACCATTGCACCGTGGTGGGTTGAAACTCGCGATGAAACCTAATCGGGTGCGCTCTGGCGTGTAGTTTTTGTCAGTGAGGAGGTCTCACAGCTCTCCCTCTAATCCATAACAATGTATATATAACCACTGGCTCAGTGGTCTAGTGGTTACGTGCCAGCGCGCGAAACCATTAGATCTTGGGTTCGAATATCGCCGGGGGCGAGGTCATGGATGCGCACTGCTGAGAAGCCCCACGACAGGATAAAACGGCCGTCTAGTGCTTCCAGGTTTTTCATGGTGGTCTAGCTTCAACTGACTCATGCCCCAGGGTACAATTTTGGGGCCAGTGCTATTCCTCTTGTATGTAAATGACCTTCCTCGTCTCCTATCATCATCGGTCTTTCTATATGCTGACGGTGTCAAGATTTGTAGAGCGATATGATGTGAGGGTGATAGCTTAGAACTCCAAATGACCTGAAGAAATTATCTGAATGGTCTCAAACCTAGCAGTTGCCAATAAATACTTCTGTGGCGGTAAATAAATCCCCAAAATAAATAGCTCTGTAAGTTTTCGACATTAGATGCGTACCATATGTTTTAATGGACTCACCTAGCTGAAGGCGCTCGGTCATGCATCCGCACCAGACCACGTCGGGCTCACCAGTGTAGATCACCAACGTAGATGATCTATGTCGAAAATGATATGAGGCCTACTCGAGTTGGACGTGAATGGTGTGACAAATTAGCTAGCATCAAAGTCACACCTCGTGGTCAGCATCTTACGTGGACTACCCCATTGACGTATCAAGGTACCATAGATGCTTTGGAGACTGTGCAACACAGAGGACGATATCACAGAAATATATTAGTTAAAGCAGATACAAGCGAAATTAAGACCACTGCCGCACAGGCCATTCTATGGCATATGATTAACTGATGTGCGTTGGTTGTCCCTGACCTCGACGAGGATCGATGATTTGCTCGATATTCAATGACCCAACTGCCGTATGATTTGGCTAGGGCTTAGGGACATTTCGCTGGCCTTACAACACTCCCCCACACCTCCAAGTGTGTTGTGATGCATATCGGTCATCAAGGTACAGATGCATACACGATGAATAACACTGAGCTACCTGTCGTCCAGACATATAATGACTTAGGAGTCATCGTTAGCCAAGACCTAAAGACCACTGCACACTGCCGTACAATAACCGCTAAAGGTTTTAGAACGTTATGGTCAATACGTAGGGCTTCTGGTCATGTCGACGCTAGGACGTTTTTGACTTTGTATACAGTGTTCGTACGTTCTAAACTTGAGTACCTCATACGAGCGGCCAGCCCCTGCCTAAAAAAAGACAGTGAACTTCTGGAAAAGGTTCAAAGAACGGCAACTAAGCTGATTCCCGGAATAGCGAAGCTTCCGTATGAAGCTCGACTGGCCAATCTGAACCTTTTCTCTTTGTCATATCGCAGAACTAGAGGTGACTTGATTACAGTTTTCAAATTGCACCTGATACGCCCTCACTTTTCTTGTCTTCCAAAACAGAGAATTTACTAGGACACTCCAAAAAAGTTCACAAGCCCAGAACAAATTACGTCTCAGCTGACTATCGACTTTCCCATCGAATCACCAGCGAGTGGGATTCATTACCTCAGCACGTGGTTGAGGCTCCATCCGTCGACTCCTCAAAAGAAAGTTGGATCAACTGAGAGACCACCATTGCCAGGACTAACACAGGCCATCAAGCCTCCTGTCCTTCCCAAACTGAAACTGAAACTGAATCAAGATATTGGTCGTAGTTTATAATGAGGTAGTCGACCTATTGCTGAGTTCCCTTGTCAGATAATCGAGTGTCTTTACGATATCAGGGATACTATCTGAGGAAAGTGTTCTATTTATCTCTTCCAACTTCAGACTGGGTTTTGTTTAAATCTGCTGATGGAATTCAGATAAACAACCAGAGGGTTGTCCCTCGTAAGGTATGTTAACAGTGTCTCCAGTCGGAGAGGATTCTATTACTCTCGAGTTTCGAGTTCTTATACATAACAACGTCGTTTTTAAATAGTTCACACATATAATCATAAACATGCATCGCGCTAATGCAGTTTACACCTGCATCTTATTTGGTGAGTTAACTTATCGATACGTTTGCTTAATTTACTGAACATCGGACTGTACTTGTTGGTAGTTACAGGGGAATTAAGTTTCAAAGAGTTCTTATGAGTTTCTTTTATCTTTCAGATTTTACATGGCAGATTCCGATGAAGAATCCGATCGCCGTCGTAGCCGTGACAAATTTCGCCGTGAGCGTAGTGATCACGATGGACGTCGTCGTCCTGGTGATAAACGAGAGCCATTCGACGACCGATCAGGTACTGTAGGTGTTGCAACGACTCGTGAAGATAATCGTTTGTCAGGTGAAGGTCGGAATGACCGTGGACGATCACCTGCAGAACCTCCTTACAAAAGACCTCGTAAAGATAACAGTGATGATAATAAACCAAGTTCATACCAGCGAAAGGATACCAAAAGTTCAAGTGTCTCGGAATACGATGGCATGTACAGGCCTCCAGTAATTCCATTTAAACGGTTTCTTGATCCTTTGGACGACTTGATTACTGAAGAAGAGGCGTGTAGTAAATACAAAGAATACAAAGAAGGATATATGAAGCGTCATACCGAAGAGTTCTTTGATGCACACAAAAATGAGGAATGGTAAGTCAGTATACAGTGGTTTATGTTTAGTCCGTCTTTTAAACCGTGTCACTGTTACTAGATAACGTCAACAAACTTTCAGTTTATTTTAAATTGAAGTGGCAGTCCATTGTGTTTGTATTGCTGTCATAGCTAAGTCATGCTGAGGAAGTGAGTTGATGAGGCCCATTGCGTTCCGACCCAACAAAAATGTTGGTGATCACTAGTTGTCATAAATGTAACTTGTTTTCGCTAATGCCAATGTTAGATATGAAAAGAAAGTTCGATAAACTCATTGGTCACTAATGAATAGATATCCCCATTAGTCATCGATAAAACTCACTGGAATGGTTGCTCTTATAACTGATGCTTCAGTGGGATTATTTCACACACCTGTTACTGCTTTTCAAAATTATCTAAAGTCTCGTACATGAGTGTGTCAAGACAATTCCCTTAAGGTAGTCGACCCCGGGGGTATTAGTTTCCAATGAATCCAGCTATAAATGTATTGATGCTTCTCATTTTGATGGTAGACTTGGTTCTGCAACTAATTAATGTCATAAACGATATTAAGTCGAAGTAGCAATCTTTGGTGTTCAAAATCATAAGTCGTACTAGTGTAATCGGTTGAAGATTTGAAGCTCTTTTGGATGATTCAATTAATACGATATCAAACTTGGTGTACTTGATTGCATACTTGGCATGTTTAAAGCACCTAAAACAATTTTGAACCTGAGTCGGTCAGTTTTCGTTCATGATGTGTTAGTGGTGGTTTTCGACCTTAGGGTATCTCCAAAGTACCTAAGTTTTAGCTTAAAACCGAATACAGGCATTCACATCTGGTAATCAGGTTACATTATATATTTTCTTGAATCAGAAGTTTAGGCCATCTGTTTTTTCAGCAATGATTGTCTGAGTATTTAGTCATCATAGTTTGTAGTTATCGAAAGCCGTCTTTTCTACTGAATATATCCCCTCATTTAGTTCATGTCTAGCAGCCAGCTTAAGTAGACATAAAGTTTACCGTTTTAGTTTTAAAATTCTCTAAAATATCTTAATAGTGACGCAAATTTATACACTTATATTGTTGTATAGGCTTCGTCTTCGTTATCATCCCGATTACATGAATGAAAGAAAAGCCGCTCTTAGCGCAGCAGCCAAGCATCGTCTAGATGTTTTCATGGAGCTTTTACATAAAGGCTTTCTCGAAAATCAGTCTGTTCAGATGGACAATAGTGAGAATCTCATAAAACTCATGGATGCCGTTGTTATCAAACTTGAAGGTGGTTCTGATGAAGACCTAAAGGTACTTGAAGAATCTGATCGTAATAGATTTTCAGACGAAGAAGTAGTACATCAGTCCCAGGTAGGTTGCTTTGGACTGCCATGCGCAATATGTTGATGAATTTCATGACATAACTTTTGGTTTGTGATTAGTTCTGCATGCACACGATATATTTATATTTAGGACTTGTTGGCTATAGTGTTTCACAGAGCTTTTGTGACAGAATTCTCCAAATCTCTCTATAAATTATGAAATTTTAAGTCTGATGGTTCTTTCAGTGACTAAGTTACATGGTATTCATCATTCCCATGTATTTACTTTCCACACCCATTTTTCGAATTTTGTAGAAGTTAAACTTCATTGGATAATTAGAGAAACGAGTCTATTTTGTGGTTTTCGAACTTTAATCTATGAAGTTTTGTTTCATGATTCTGTGAATAATTGTTTAAAATTTTCCTCAATTGTCTCTAGTCTTCTGGACCTATTTGTTGTGAAAATAAAAGTGAAGGAGAGGCTGAGTCTGATGAAGATTTCGAACATGAGAAGCCTAACACAGAACTTCCTAGAAAAGTGATGCCAGAACCTCTTCACACTCCAGGTTCTACTGTGGAGTGTCGAACAACTAACCGACGTGCACGAACTGAGTCAAACAAGTCTGGTAGCTCAGCTCCTTCACAAAGTAGCCAGAGTAGCGATAGTGACAGTGGTTCTTCAAGCGATGACGAAGCTGATGAAAGCGCCAAACCTAAAGCTGAAGTTGAGCAGAAGTGTAGTGAGTTTAACTCTGGTTATTTGCTTTCATAAGCTGGGAAACTTGATAATAGTAACGATAATATTTGAACTAAGTCAAAGAGATATTAGTGGCATGGTCTGTGGCCCCCTAATGCCCTGGTATGGCCGAGAGTGGAATGGGCCCGCCCTCCCTCTCGAAATGCTCTTACACGGCCAAGCGTATACAGCTTCTGCTAGGGAGGTCCTACTCACTGCCTTCTCGTGGCGGGGTGTTGTTGTCTACGAAAATGAGAGAACGAAAAGCGAATGTCCGGCGCTTTAACCGGATTCCAAATCAATGGTGCACATGGGCTCCAGTATCCTGAAGGAACAAATGGCGTATGAACCAATCGTTGGTCACCGGCTACCATGGGACTGCATCTCCACACGATGCTCCACTGCCTTGTAGGTTAGACCTTTAGGTCAAAGGCTCGGAGTGTGGTTCCCTAAGAAAACCACCTGCTTCGGTTTAGGCATCCGGGCAGTATCACAGCCCTCACACAAATCGAATGATTTATGTGGCGCATATGTATTTGATGCCTCCTTGTACCAATATCTATGTGTTAAAATAAATAAAAACATGGTCTGGGGCAAATGTTGATTATTAGGTATGTCTGTGTTTCAGCCTCAACGAATGGTGTGTTGCTAATTGGTCCATACCCAGTCAAACGTGAAAACTATTTTAGATCTGTTAACCGTCTAGTGGTAATAGAGGTATAAATCTTTTAAACCATGGTAATCAGACTAATCATTCTATTAGCTTAGTTTCATTTAGATACATATGTGCAGTTCGCCCGTGCAGTTTGATCTTGTTTAAAAACGCTTTCATCACTTGACCAATTCGCTTCATTTTGAACAAGCAAATATTGTCTTTGATGTTTTACTTCAAGTTGTGTAAATATAAGGGGGTTTGTTAATATTGGTTGGTATCGGTCAGCAACAGACTCAACTAACGTCACTTGTTCACTTTAACGCAAGCAGCTCAAATAGTTCATTTTGTGTAAAAATGTGTCTTTCATACCAAACCAAAATAAAAGTTTGGCATAATGTAGGAAGAATAGTAAATTGTCGCACTAGTCTAGACCATATAGTGGCTTAAAGATTATCAGGGCAAAGTTCATTGTTACGACAAATTGTACAAACTGTAGTGGTCCCCTAATAAAACCACCTGTTTCAGTTTAGGGACTCGGATAGTTCACACAAATCGAATGATAACTACTTTGTGTGGCGCATGTAGGTTTTGGTGTCACTTCGTACCAATGTTTATGTGTTGAAATATATATATATATATATAACAAGCTGTACACATACAGGGGGTTCGAACTTGCGAATAGACAAGGCTTCTGCAAACCTAAAAATTCATCCCTGACAATTTCTGTACAACCTTTTAAAGCTGTTTTGATGTCAATTCTATGTCCTGTTTCCTTTATATATCGTGCTACCGATGAACATACTGTTTTACTTCCCAAGTTTACCGGAGCGACAATTTACTATTCTCTCCATATTATGCCAAATTTTTATCTTTCCTTTTACAATAATCACTTTATTTATTTGGAATTTTAGTTAGTTGGTCTTATATTGATTTTCATATAAAGTATTGAGTTCATATGGCTCAAATATACAACACAAATACACCACATTTCCAGTTCAATTCCATTTTCCGACTGTTTTTATTAAAATTTATGAAAAAACTAATTGTTTAATAAGGATTATTTTCTACTTTTTGTTTGATAAACCTGTATTTAGCAGTCAGTCATAATCAACGTATAGCATAGCACAAATAACTGTTAGCCCAAGTTACCATACTAAATCTTGTTCTTGGTGATTGAGTTAACCTAGCTGAATTGACATTGGATTTACCAGCATGTTGGATGTCATTGTTCTCAAATAGACCTCTATCGTTTGTGCCTGTCCATAATAAAACTCTGATGTGTAGTCGTCTTTTCAAGTTGTTAAATATTTAGTTATGATCGCGAAAATGACACTTTTCTATAATTTACAGATGAACTCGGTAATATTCATGACGTTGCAAGGTCTGAAGTTGACGAAGATGACGACGATGTACCCACTCCTACAACTGCCGAGTCCCCAAGAGGATGTAAAAATGAAGACTCTTCTGTTTCTATGATCATCGGCTCGGTAAATGATACACCTGTCAAACATCCTATTTTTGGAGATCCTTCCAACGCTCCTCAGTCCAAGTGTGCAAATCCACCAAGACTGCTACATAAAACTGCCTCTATATTCTTCCGAGCGTTACCTCCAACTATAATGGAAAGCGAACTCAAAGAGGTTTGTTCTACTTTATAAATCATGTTTCCCATATTTCGGAAAAACGTCAGACTTATTTGGATGATATTGTGAGTCTAGACATATGCTATCCGTAGAGTTACTGGGTAAAATTGATTCGCTTCTATAAAAATTTTGTCAGTGAGATGGGTTTTTCGTGAGATGAGATTTTGTACAATTGACAAAATCATCTAATTACCTTATCAGTTGTCATCATGTATTTACCATACATTAATTTATTGAATTTTTTCAGTGTCTAACTTTTTCTGTTATCATTCATACTGTCACTACCTGTGCTACTCTGAAATTCGACCTGACAATTTCATCTTGCTATACTAATAGGGTATAAAAAATTCAACTGATGTACATATGTTTCAGGTTCTACGTTGCGTTTGACTGACTTAACTTACAAGTGTCTTATGCCCTGTCAACTAATCAACTTTCATCCTACTGGTTAGTATCAGATTCGACAAATGTCACTTTACTTCAAGCAGCTCAACTAGTTCATTTCGTGTAAAAATACGTCTCATACCAAACCAAAATAAATGTTTAGCATAATGCGGGAAGAATAGTAAATTGTCGCACTATCCTGGAATAAGAAATTAAATTTTTATATTTCTAAACAAAGTTACTGAAGTAAGATATTCGGCGAGACTATAATTTATGGATGGATCAATCGGATTTAGGATAACAGGTCTTGGATTTTGGCGCGACATTCAACCATTTGGCCAAATAGCGCCTTGGCATTTTAACTTATGTTAGTTCGTGATGACGAACCGTAAATCTAATTCCTAACCCTAACCATCGACTGTGAGTCATAATCCGTATTCTTCAAACTGATTTATAACCGTCATTTAGCCCTAGTGAGTAGGCAGATACTCAAGGTCACTTTGGCGTCGCTCAAAGGTCGTCCATAAATTATAGTCTCATCAAATATTCTAGACTCGTTTAACTGCCTACTTAGTTGAATCTAATGTCCTCAATAACACTAGGTAGTTTGTGGTGGTAACGACAAATTTACGGCACACTATTTCACTAATTTTGATTTACCATTATAGAAGTATTTTCTGATACTAATTTGTTATCTTTCTGTGTAAGGTGTATTATTATAATTAATATTTTTGTCAGTTAATCAACACAGCAATATTTTGGTGACTATGTTTGTTATTTCAGCTTTGCGCTTCTCAACCTGGATTCATAAGATTGGCTCTTTGGGAACCTGTTCCTGAACGTCGATTTATGCGACATGCATGGGCCACATATGATCCTTCTGTTAACATCAAAAAGATATGTTGGGCGTTAAATACCAGTACTTTATTACGCGAAAAACTTGAACTTCCAAACGGAGAATTAGGTGCTACAGTCAATCGTGATTTAGCCCAGAGAGTTCGTCCTCTTACTCCTCTCACACGTCATAAACCAGTTATGCGACAAGATTTACTCTTGGCTGCACAACTTGTCGCGCGTTTAGATGCTAAACATAATCTATGGAGTCATTTGGAAATTCCTGATAGTACAAATGATTTGAATACGATTGGTAAGCTCAAAATCAATGGTGATTCGGAATTCAAGAATATTTGTGATTATACAGCTCTGGAAATGGCTATTAAGAGTAAAAATCCATTACTTAAAAATCTGACAGACTATCTTGTTGATGAAGGTGGAAGTGAAGAAGAAGCACTTATAGGTTAGTTTAACAGTTGAACGAGGTTTATTTACTGCTTATTGTGCTGTCCATTCTTATGTAAAATTTAGTTATGGACGAAGGGTTTAATAATATGTCCTGTATACTTATTCATAAATCATGCCTTTCATCTTCACTATCCACTAACGATTTTTATATCTTTTAGACACATGACAATCAATGTACTCAATTATTCATTGTAAAAGCTATTTCCTTTCACTTTGATGATTATTGTAAGGCCGATGGATGTATCCTTCATAAGCTTTCTAGGAAGTGCTATTTTTGTTACAATTAAAAAATTTGACTCATCAATATCCTATTATGAAGCTTTTTCATTGTAACAGCCTTTCGACATTGTAATTTTAAAATGACGACGTTTTGATAAAAACACTTGTCTTATATGGCCATGTTTCGTAAAACAATGTAGCTTAGTGGTTAATGAATTCGGCTTTAAGCCAGGTCTCAGCTTGAAACATTGCTTCACCGCTTACGTTGGTTTGGCCAGCAGTTTAGTAGTATCCATCAGCCCTCGCGGATCTTAAGTGTAGCTCAAAGCTCTGAGTACATATTTGTATGTTGTGTCATTCCGTGAATGAAATCTCCCAATGGTCACTAGTTAAAGTTTCCTTAGGAAGAGGACATTGCAAATGATTGCTATGCTTTCTACTGCAACAAACGTATTGTGAATTCTATCGAAGCGTCCAACTATACATAGCTGAGATTCGGGTGAAGTCGAAGTCCAACAAACAACGATTTGTCTAAAGGACGGTTCTGTTATTAAGGAGTATACATAGATTGGTTAAAAATCTCAACTCATGAGGCCTCTGTGGCGGTTAATGCGTCTGTGTGCCTGGAAAGAGAAAGATATAAAATAGCGTCATTGGGTCTGTAATTGTGTCGAAAGTCGACAACAATTACTATCAATCAACGTAAGGACTGGGAACACAACTATGGAAACTGTTGCTCTTAAAACCATTCAAGGAATGGACAGAAATTATGGATAACGGCGAAAAGGGTTGAGAGAATGTAATTATAATGATAAATGTACTAAGTGTTATTAGTTAATGTAAATGCTTTAAGATATTACAAGACCAATAAACTTGCGTTACATCATGAGATCAGAAGTTATTAGGAATAGAACTGTCTACTGAATATTAACAAGTAGTGTAAGGCAATACGGGGTAATAAGTTGAACAATAGGAGAATAAAGACAATGTAAACGCACTTAACCTGGACTAATTCCTTGTATTTTTACAACTAATTTATGTGAGTGTTTTTGTCTAATCCTTAATATTGTTTCAATTGTATTTATCCTATCAATATTCATTATTTTAATTTCTCCAACGTCTGGAATATCCAGCGGAAACTCAAGCAGAGGGTGAAGGATGTGACAATAGTAGTAATACTGTAGTTGGACGTGTTCACACTGTAACATTGGAATCCGATCCTAATTTGGCTCGTACTTTAGATCTGTTAATACTCTATTTACGTATTGTCCATTCTATGGATTACTATGCAGGAGCTATCTATCCCATGGAGGATCTTATGCCTCATCGATGTGGAATTCTTCATGCAAGAGGTGACAGAGGAATAAATCCTGTTCCTGGTGCCCGTTCTAGTGGTCTGGCTTTCACTCAAAGAGAAATTAATGATCACCTTCAGGTATGATAAGAAAGATAAACGACGACATTTTACATCAAATAATAGTTGAAGCGTGTTTAATTTTTAGTTGTACCGATAAATATCATAACCGGTGGTTAGAGACCTTGAATGACATGGCTTAAAAGCGCTTGTAGTGACCCAAATGCATTCATTCTTTGTTAATGGCTAAATATCTAAGCTGATTTCTCCACAGTTTTTTTTATTTCACTAGTTTATATCCTATAGAGTCGTATCTTCGATACTTAGTCTTTTATATTACCACTGATACTGTTACGAATTCTACTATTCAGGGATTTGTCTTAACAATTCCAGCTATCTGCAGTAATTGGGTCTGAGAATTGAACCTATGTACACGTGTGCCAAGTTCTATATTGCAACTGACTGATTGATTGACTGCACAGATTAGATTACTGTTGATCATAAATAACATTTACAACTTTTTCTTTTAAAACATGAGAATACTCTTTGGTTTTTAATCTTATCTTTCAGCACTGTGTACTCTACTAGGAACCTCACGACCCCATAAGACTTCTAATACTCACGAGAGATGGGGGAAAAACTAGGTTTGATTAGCATTAGTCCATATTTTAATAACTGCATCGTTACAGAATTAATGTTTTTTGTTGTTTAGTCATTAAAAATCGTATATCCTTTGTATAGAATACCAGACATAATGAGAAATTTCAACCAAATCGTTGACCACAAGATCCAGTTGAATTAATAGCACAAGTAAATGCAATTTTCTAACATGCTGCTGTGTTTTCATTAGTGCATATATAGTGGTATCAGTTAGTTAGTCAGTTGCAATGTAGGACCAAGCACATATATACACCAGTCCAAGTTGCCACGTCATATTAGCATGACAAGATGAACACCAAATTCATAGAAGTAGTCACTTCAATGGCAGTAATATATAAAATAAGGATTGTACATAAGGATATAATATAGGAACAGTTAATTCGTAGAAAGAAATGTATAAAGTAATTTTAATCTCACGGTTTAAGGGAAGACAAGGAGTCTATACGCCTACGCCATTGTGATGGATTATGACCCATGTCACCCAGAATCTCCAACCATTGGTTACGATGGTCACGCGGGCCCCAACCAAGTAGTTTGCATCTACCAACATGGCTCAGATTAGAATTTAGTGACTTCAAGGTCTGATGCCAGTCTTGAAGCAACAATTTACGTTTGGATGGAGACAAACGCATTCTAAACATCCTGGTGTTGTTGCTCAATGCTACCAAAAGACTGCATTTTATCAGTGTCTTCACCAAACAGGACTATGTCATCTGCGTATTCCAAGTCGATAAGTGGACCTCCTGGAAAGAGATCAATTCCTGGGAATTCTGTTAACGAAAAAATTATTTCCAGCAGTGATATTAACCAATTGTAATGTCTAAGGACGTTTGACTTTACTTCTTTCCTCTAAATTTAAAGGTGTTCTTATTCCAAGTATAGCAGTGGCTTGGAATTTCGTTACAGTACTCAATCTTTAATTAATATGTCTCACGTTTTGAACTCGTTCCGTCTTTTGTGATAAACTTCGAGTCAAATATTTTGTAAACGGACCATTAATGCTTTGTTGTGTGATACTGATGTCGACAGATACAATTAAAATGTCTCACCAATCGAAAATGAAATGCCTGGAGGTAGAAGGTCAAGAAGATCGAAGAGACAAGAACGAGAACAGATATTGAATGATGTGGAAAAGAAGAATCAGTCAAGTATGAGACAATTGCTAGATATTTTGCAAATAAAGAGTTTGTCGTATGGTTCTCAGATTTTACATATTGGTTCTGTAATTTTGTTTTGAAATACATTTGATTGTCCCCATTTGCATTCTCGTTCACTAGAATACTAAATCAACTGAAGTTGTCAAGTCGCTATCATGAAAACTATGTTTTTTCTTTTTTGAGTTCTTAATTCGATAATAGGAAATCGAGTCTATACAATACTGTTCAGTAACTCCCTTACTTTTGTTGTTTTATGTAACATGAATTTGTTTTTGTGATGACTCGCTTAACCGATCACCGATCCACACTTTATGTAGTTAAGATTGTCGAGTATTACATATAAATTACATTTCAATAATAGATTTGTTATCTCTCTTGACTGGTTGATTGTTTTGATGAATTTTACATCCGTTTAATTAGTAAACTGATGTTATTTATTCTCTGAAGAAGTGACTTACACTAAGTCACGAAACGTCAGAAAATCTAATTTTCTACTCATTGGGATATTACAAATATATTATTTATTTATGATGTTAACATATTTTTCTATATGGTTTTTTTTCTTGATTTCAACATTTTCATCTTAGAATTTCGCTTTGAAATTGCGTACTCTTATCGAGGTACCAAAAGATTTAACTGAAGAGGAAATGAAAAAGTTAGGTATGCGAGATCCTGAAAAAGCTGCAGAAGAATTCGTCGAAGCTAATATTCAAAAAAGAACTGGCAAGAAAAAACCGTAAGTGTAGTTCTTTTATTATTTTTTTTTAAAAATAAGTGTTTCGAATGTTTATGGATAGAGACAAATAGAAATGTTGGACTACTGTTAAACATCATCAACATCACCTAACTTAAAGAGTATTCATGGTTGACACTTACTGACTGAATGACTTGATTGTGCAGTAGTTCACATTTCTGTGTTTCACAATAAAGTTATGACAGAATCTGTTGTAATGGGAGATGGGTACTAGAAACACGATCAGTAAACTATACTAAATATCCTAACAAGATATTGGACCGAAGATTAAACTGGCATCAGATGATTACTATATACGTCATTATACTAGTTCACGTGAACTCGAACACCAACAAGTTTCACTACTTCATCAATTGATTTGCCATCCTTACCTAGTACCCGTTTCCTAACAACTGTGTTACTTACTCGATGGTCCCATGATATACGAGCAATGTTTCGAAGACACCTATGATCAAATACTAGTAACCTACGTATATCCTCTACTCTTACCGGCCATGTTTCACTGCCATAAAGTAGGACGAAACGAACTGCTGCGCAGTAAACACGTCCTTTGGTTGATAGACGGATATCTCGCCTACGCCATAAATGACGCAAGTTGGCAAAAGCTAGTCGAGCCTTCTGTATCCGTGCTGAGATTTCGTCACATACTAAACCACAAGGGCTGATGAGACTTCCAAGATAAGTGAAGCGGTCGACACACTCAACTACTTCACTCCCTATCACTAGTTCGGGTGTCGATGTAACCCAATCCTGAAGCAACATTTTGCATTTCGAGGGAGAGAATCGCATCCCGAACATGCTTGCATTGTTGCTTAGAGTGGTCAGAAGACTGCATTTTGTCAACGTCTTCACCAAATAAAACTAGAATCAAATATTAGGATTTGATCACCACTAAAAAATGTAAAATTTAATATGGAACTTGTGTAACTACTCATTAACCTGCTTAATGTTCTTGGACACTACTTCACTCTACAGATTCCCGTATCAGAACACAGTTGAGCAGGAATTTAATTATATTTCAATAACAAAAGTCGATGGTAGTAAAAATCACAACAAGAAAAACGTTAGTATATTTATAATTTTTACATAAAATTCTAGAGTCTTCTCCAAGTCTCCGCATGCTCTGATTGGTTAAGAATTAGCCCAATTAGCGTGCCTCAACATAATCCTGCACGGAAGATGCTTTAATCAAATCTATATCACACTAACATAACTTGTTAGTGTAGGTATAATTGTTTCGTCAAAGGGCTCGTAACACCAGTAGTGGTAGTATACACTACATTGTTCGATTTCAACATACAGAATTAAGCTAAGGTTATTTAGGTTGTTGCGTCTCAACGTTACAAGAATATAGATGGAGAATACTGAACAATAATCTGTTAATGTGTTTATGCATGTTCATGATTAACAAGTGCACTACTCTGAGGTTTGCATTTTGAAGTTTCTGACTTCACTGACCTTCTTGAGTCACATGGTTTTATAAAAAAAAAATTGTAAGAGACAGTCTAACTACCTCGGTCATCGAGATTTGATCCTTCTATGTATATGTCACGTTATATTTTCCTACAAGCTCCTTTTCCAATGATTCTTATTAATAACTGTTCACAGAAGTTTCATAAGAGTTCGTGCGTGACACAATTTAAATTGAATGGATAAATATAGTCGAAGTATGAGTGTTTTACACTGGTTTTTTTTGTTTAGTAATTAATTCAATTAACTAATCACACATGTAACGAAACTATTTATTTTAGATTTAAAGTTGTATGGGTATGTCCATTATCTGATAAGAAATTCCGTGAACCAATTTTTGTTCGTAAACATATTTTCAATAAACACATGGACAAGGTAGAAGCAGCTAAAAAAGACAATGCAATATTTTATAATAACTATTTGAAAGATCCTAGACGTCCATCATTACCAGAAGCTCCATATCATTTGTTAAATCAATATTATCCATCTTTAAGTTCGAATTCAAATAGTAATAATCATACATACAGAGGTAGAGGTTCTGGACGTGGTAATACGGGTGGAAGTTATCGTGGATATAGGAATAATTCACTTCTTTCAACAGCACCAAGTTATGTACGGGGTACTGGAACTTTTCAGGTATGCTGTATACATACAACTTATTTTCGTTTCGATATTGTTGATATATTCTGTCAATTTGAACATTTTTGTTGGTTCACTATTCATTTCTGTGGATTCAGAGATAAAAAGGTGTCTTATGAGCTACTTGAGGAAATTTATAACATGAAATATAATAACTTAAGCTTCTACTATACTGTCCGTCTACAAACTATTAACGCAAGTTTGCCGTCCAGCAATCCTTCAAGTATTGCTCTACGGTTGAAAAATACTCTATAGAAGACATGCTTAAACCGGAATTATGTGATCATAGATTTTCCGAATTACTGGTTGTTTATTGTAGTAAGGTACTACTAGAGAAAAACGGAAAATCGGTAGATGAAGCTATATGTAAACCTTCCTGATGGATTAAGAGCAATAGAATAGTAATAATTAATGGTTGAAGATGTTAGACTCCACAGCACAAATCTGATCGTATTCGCACAATTGTATACACTATGTTCCTTTTAGTCTTGGGTTGAGTTTCATTATTTATTTTACCATCCTTCGGTCAAATTAATTCCATTTGTATTCTCTTATTCTTTGTTTATATATATATTTTTTACCGATTTGGTGTATAGTTTCCTGTCCGTTCATACTCATCATGTTAATTTCGCTCCTCTCCATTCACTGATATTTGGAACTTTGAATAGACACTGATTCTCACCAAAGCTTGCGTTAATAATGATTGCTAACTATACTACTACTTGGTGCTTTTTTGTGCCATCTAAACTTAACATAATTGAATTTCTCGATTGTATATCTTGAATTTCAATATTGTTTTAATGGTGATATAATGAACTAAAAAATCGACTGTTATCTATTCATTTTGACTGATTATCTTAGTGTTTAAGAAAAGTTGTACATCTCGAACTAAATGACTCATGTCAGTACCAGCGTTGTAATAGCTTTTCAAGTTTATACCATCATTAATAACTATGAATTATTTCATTGTTATTCAAACCCAAATACTAACAATGATATAAACATCATACTTATTGAACAAATTTGTGGCTATCTACACCTAGTAGTAGCTCAGTTAACAACGCCTTGTAATTTAATAGTGAAGGGCATTGGATATATCCACCCAATGAGTTCCAAATAAGGCGAAAAAACTTAAATCCTTCTGTGATTTACAGGTCATTTATTAAGTAAAGCTTTTTGGACTGTCTTGTAAATTCCATTACTCAACTATTTTTCCCTTTGTCCAGGACTATTATGATGTGGCAGCTCAACAACAACAACACCAAGCTATGGCGGCTGTAGCAGCAGCAGCTGCTGCCGCTTTATATCCAAACGCTGCGACAGCAGCTGATTTGTATGCATTGGCTGCACAAGCAGGTGCACCTCGCACAGGTCTTGGAATGTCTAGGTCGCGTGGTCAACGTGGTTCTTCACCATCTCATGATTTCAATCATCGACCATATAGTAGTAGTAGTACATTGGATAATCGCCGGAGACAGCCTACAAACTATTCGACAAATAGGTAAGCTACAGTTATGACTGTTATGTTTGTATATATTAAAGCCTTGATACACTTATCAGACGGTAGGTGATGCAAGGTTGGTAAGACACTAAACAGTAGATTCCGATAAAATCTTGTTAATATTTGATTGTATATCATGAGTTTTGTGTATGAATCTCTCTATCTTTGTATTTTCTGCCTGATTTATCTTGTTTCCCAGGTTTTTTTTGCATATTGTGCTATTCTTAATTGATCTGTGATTCTGAACAAATCAATCATAGTAGAACTTGTTCAATAAATCTTGTCTAAGCAGTTGTAAAAGTGAACATTGTTTTTAATGGGATCTTTCCTCATTCTGTACTCTGTCTAATCAGATTGAAGGTTTGGCGAATTATCTCAAACTGGTAGAAGGCTTTCATTGAGGACAAAATCTCAATTAAAAAACAGTCGGTCCTGTTACCGTGGAGTTCTTCGCTAGTGTACAACCCACACCATGTTGTCCGGGATCTAACCCTAGGACTATAGATATCCTCGAAGCATCGGTCGTGCATTTTAGGACAATTGAATGAATAATCCCGGGTTTAGGGATAGAATGCTAGGTAAATATGGCAAATCAGTTGATAATGTTGTGATGACTATTCATCAACTCACGTAGTTAGGGTATGTGCTCGACCGCGTACATCGACGGGTGATGATACCTGGCTTAGGGGTGATTAGATTGGAAGAAAGCTATGGGCGGCCAAAGACATGGGACCCGTCCCTAAATTGATAGATAGTTGTACTGAGCCGTGTAAATTAGTGTAAACTACATGGTTAGGGTCCGCGTGATTGTCGTAACTAATGGTTGGAGACCTTATGTGGCATGTCTCAAAATCGTTCTCAATGGCACCGGTGCATTTATTCTTTGATTTCTCTTATAAATTGAGTCCCGAAATCTCCGTACACCTTTTTCTTTCTTTTCCTATACCTAGTCTTTACTACTACTGTTGACACTGTTTCTACTTGTACTACTCTGGGATTTATCTCGACAATTTTGTGTCTCTGTGTTAACGTGATACAGGAAATGGGACCAACACACACATATTTCAGTTTCTGTGTTGCTCATAACTGACCAACTGTTTAGTAATCAGTTTCATATGCTAACATCTCGAAATCTCAAATTAAATCCACTCTGTCCGTCCAGTACGCGAACTAAGATTTATAGAAATAATTACATAAAGTATCAGTCTTGTTGTGGCTATCGATTTGATTTCGTGTGATGCTTGTATCCAATATTTATTCAGCTACTAATCACAATCATTATTCCCTTAAATGTTTATACGGTTGTCTAATACATGTGTGTAACAATACACCTACATGATCGGTAGTGATCGTTCTCAAGTTTCTATCCTGTGAGCATTCAGTTTCCTAACCAGGTCACCTTCATTATTTTTTTGGATCAGTTTGCTTTCGAAATACAGCATTATCGTGCATAGATAATTAAGTATAAAACAATGACCAGTCAGCTAAAGGAAAGATACCGTTCATTCAACAAACTTTCAGTGAAAGTAGAACTAGGATATTATCATAAATGAGAGTGGTATAATTGTAATTGTAATAAGAATAGTGTTCCACAAGTTTTTGTTAAATAAATTTTCGTTAACATCACTTCTCGTATTTATTGGCGAGACTATACAGACTATACTTAGCCTTTTCTTAACTTTTAGACGTCCAGTTGGTGGTGGTGGTGGTGGCGGTACCACAACCGGTGAACGAACAATGATATCATATAATGATTTAGATGATCCTGGAAATGATGTGCTTTAAATTGAATTAACTAATTAATCTAATCATCTTCATCGACTGTTGCAACAACTGCTTTATTTTCTATGTTCTTGTTTTCTGTTTGTTTCTAAAGTTTATCACGTTGACACATTTAAATGAATATCATGTATATCTGAACATTGTGCATTTTCATATTCTTTCTTCCTTATATTAATTACAATAAGAAAAGTTCTATTAAAATTATATTACACTTTTCAATTTACATATTTCTATATGATGTTACTGTGTGAGAAACTATAATAATCAAGTCGATGATAGTAATATTTATTTATTTAAACACATAAACATTGGTTCAAGGGAGGCACTAAATAGATATCCGCCACGTAAATCATTAGATTTGTATAAGGGCTGTGATACTGCCCGGGTGCCGAAACCGAAGCAGATGGTTTTCTTAGGAGGCCACACCCGGAGCCTTCGACCTGAACTTTTGATCCACAAGCCAGTGGCGCAACGTCAGGGGATGCAATCCCATGGTAGCCAGTGATCAACAATTTGTTCCTACGCTATTTTTTCTTTCAGGATCCTGGAGCCCATGTGTACCATTGGTTTGAAATGAGACTTTATCAAATGATATCTGAGGATTTAGAATCCCCAACAACATGTTATCAAAAGATCCTGATGACATTAGGTCTCAATATTTCGTTGTGTAAGATTTTATTTTATACTCATAAATAACAAATGAGTCATGTGTAAAGGAAGTTAATGTACACTGTGTGTCAGTTCAATGAAAATGCTCGAGATTCGTGATGTACTTATGTATTTAAGAACAACAAATATTGATCTAGATGTTAAGTGTTTGCATACGAGACCAAATATCCTCGATTCAAGTTCTGCGTGTGGGATTGGGTATGAGCACTGTTGAGGAGTCTCATATTAGGACGAAATGAGTGTTCATTGCTTTCAGGTTTTCAATGGTGGTCTAGCTTAAATCGACTCATCAATTCAATTATTAAAATATTGACAGCTTAAAAGAAGCTTGATATGAATGAAATGAATACAGTCATAATGATATAGAAGCATGTATAATGCATTTGTATGACATAGGCAGTACAATAGTCAACATAATTTCTTGTTCTCAGTCCATATTCATTATGCTAACTAAAGTAAATATTAATCTTGATTGACTTTCATGTGACTTCTGTGAAGACATTCAGTCTATTATATGGACACCGTTTTAGACAACGTATAAATTAGTTTATCTATCTATCTACTGCCCAATTAGCCGATACAATGACTAGTTTGTTTTAAGGTAATCATAATCCTCATAGATCTCATTAATCAATGAAGGTTTAAACCCTCAATCGGAATCCTCATGGCCAAAGGAGAAGTAAGAGACCAAAGAACACATTACACCTAGAAATGGAGACAGAAATGAGAAGAATGAATAACAATTAGATAGAACTAGAAAGGAAGGCTGAGGAGAGAGTGGGTTGGAGAATGCTGGTCGACGACCTATTTCCCGTTGGGAGTAACAGGCGTTAGTGAGTAAATAAGTATGAAAGTGTACAAATATCAATGAGAATTAAGAAATTTCCATTCAAGTCTCAGTGAAGTCATGTAAAATGAGCAGTACTGTTCAAAGGATTTATAATATCATTAAAAGATTATTTAATTCATTTAGTGTTGTTTACTTGAATGTTCCCATTGTGTTCTAGGACCGCAGTTAATTAATCTCTTATTAGCATATGTACATGATGTGCGAACTGCCTCGATATTGCCTTAAGTCACTAGCTTTATAAGCAAAGATGGGCGAGACTATAATTTATGGACGAACCAATCAGATATAAGACAACGAGTGACGAATTCGTGCACGAAGTTCTTCCATGCATTTGGTCAGAGTTTTGGCATTGTAGCTGATGTGAGTTCGTGATAAAAACCTCAATCTAATTTTTAACCCTAACCATCAACTGTAAATTGGAATTCTAACTGCTTTATAACCCTCATTTAACCCTAATTAGTAGTTGCCCACTCTCAAGGTCACCTCAGCGTCGCTCAATGGTCTTCCATAAATTATAGTCTTACCGCAAAGATGGGTCGTGGCTAGCAGTGGGATCCAGTCTGACGCGCATCTCGTCCTAATTGAGACTCGTCAACTGGATGTACTTGCATCTCAGAGATGATGTGGCTATCAGAACTCAGTAGCTAAGTGGATAACTCGATGGCGTTTGAAGTAAACGGTACTGAGTTCGAGTGCCGAAGTGAACATCAACTATGAGATTCAGGTACATTCATCTGACGACTCCCAAATAGGGAAAAAACACGCATCAAACTGGAATCCAATCTTTGCTCGAAATGCTTGTGACTTAAGGCAATATCGCGACAAACCTCACAGAGTGCACATATTCGTAACTTTATTCAACAAGAAAACATGTCATAAGGTGGTTAGATGCTTTGAAGTTAGATATAAGTAAACAAACGATGAAAACCAATTATGTTTTGTAATATGTAAGTTTTCGAATTCAAATTATATAACCCGATAAATTGTTGAATGGATAAATGGATGCATTTGAACTATTACAAGTACTGGTTATGTTACAAATCATACCAGTAGTGGTTAAATATGTAGCTGAAAACATACAATAATAATGCAGCCAAAGTATATTCTGTACGAAAAATACGTAATCGTAGTTTGCCAACTGTTATTTGACTGATAAATATTGTTATCTATAAAATAAATGAAGTGAAACAGTTAGGTTAAACCTGATAACGAATACATTTTCTAGTGTTGGTTGAACAAACAAACAATCTTTATTGAATATATATTAAAATAAGGAAACATTTTCTAGTATGGAGTTGTGGAGATTATTATCATTGAGATCATGAATCGACTGATGTTAGACCACCACTTAAATCCTGGAAGCATTGGGCAGCTGTTTCGACCTAGTGAAGTCCTCTTCGATAATGTACATTCACAATTCCGCTTGTGGGATTCGTACCGATTGGAGTGAGGCATTTACTAACCACAGACAGTAGTAGATGGTCCCGCAATTTCGTGGGTTGATTAAAGTTGGACGCTAACACCGTTGGATTCCGGCTCACTGGTGTAGATGTGAAACGTTCGTTTGTGTGACTGAAGGTTTTGAGTTAGAATCTTGTGAGCGAGATCGACGATGCAGACTGTTGAGGAAACCTATACTAAGACGAAACGGCCGTCTGATGTTTCCATGTTTTCAATGGTGGTCTAAAAGCAATCAGTTCACGATCTCAGTCAAATACCTAACAATCTCCAGAATCTCATACCGGGAAATGTTTCGTTTCAAGGTGTAATATGCCAAACCAAACTTGATTTCATTTATGTGAACAATATTTTCATGTCACATTCACCAGCTATTGTAATAAGGTGATGAAGATCCTTGAGGAATGTAAATGATAAGATGATTTTTAAAATACCAAGAGAGTAAATGTTCATTGGAGCAATGGGTTTCACCGATTCCCAGTACTGCCAAGTTGTATCTCCTCATTCCGTTGCTAGTTGACTGGTCATCCCGTTTCCCACATTGTCCGGACGTTCCATGTGCCTATGAACATTTTTGCTCTGGTTGTTAAGAGGGGCATCGGCCTCGTGGCTTCCGAAGGAACTCGGCTTTCACCATGAGGCGTCATATTTCTTCTAAATGAAGACCTTCTAACTCCCAGGGCAGAGTTTAAATGGTTTGAATTATTTTTCTGCTTAGCGTTTTTCTCAGCGAGTTAGTTTTCTGCGGGATAGGGTCGCTAACCCCATGCTCAACCCTTCTCTTTTACCCGGGCTTGGGACCGGCAGTAACTCTAGAACAGCTACAGGCGGAGTTTCTAATTACCTTACTTCATCATAAAGACCAGCTCTAATACAGTTTCTTCTGAAGTATCTTGAAAACGTGTATCCTTCCACCATCTGAACTAAGATTAAGTAGCAACTCCTCCACCTCTAAACAACACTCAATATCACCTCATTGATAAACGAACCCTGTTTTTATCCCTTAAAAAATTCTGCATTTGATTTTGTGCTTTTCATTTACACATCTAGATTCAGATATGTGTAGTAAGAACAAAAAACCTACCTACAGCCTATGTTATTTCTTTTCTAGCATGTTTCTGTGAATGACTAGTCTTCTCTTGTATGAGTCAATTAAAGGAGTGGAAATCATTGCTTCAAGTGACAACTTGCAACAATTGATAATTCAGTGTAAAAACTTGTATGTTACAAATATTTTATTCATCTTGGACTTTTCTACTCATGTACCATATCCTTTAATATGTTCCGATCTGATAAGAAGAAAAAGAAAGAGAATTCAAATTATACAATTAAACAATTATGAATTCAATAGTTTCTAGTTTTCCAAAACATTCTTTTCAACTAATATCCCCTCTACCCCCCCCCAAAAAAAAGAACTCTTTATCTCATTCCCAAACTTGACAACTTACTATGAACTACCTATTATAAAATTATAATAATAATAATTCCCATCTAATGGATAACAGACCTAATTCTCTCGCTCGCTCGCTCTCTATGTATATGCTAATGTTCGACCTAATAATAATAATAATAATACAATGTCAATTATGTCATCCCTTTTAAAAAATCCCCATCATCAAAATTGTTGATAATAATAATAATAATAATACATTGAACAATTGAATATTCAAGGTCAGCGTTTAATATTTATCTTATCCCAATCACTATTTTATCCTGAATAAAATCAAGGTCACTCGAACGGTACGTTTTTATTATTTGATAACCACATTTAGGAACAATAATAATAATAATAGTAATGGTAGTAATAGTAATAGTACTAGTAGTGATGGTAATAATAGTAGTAATAGTTATAATGCAATAGTAATGGCAATAATAGTGATAATAATAATAATGGTAGTGAGAGTAATAATGGTAATAGTAATGGGAATGATAGTAATTGTAACAGTAATAATAGTAGTAGGAGGTAATAATCATTGTTTCATACTGGATTAAATCAAGGTCAACTCCGCCTGGAGTCCCTCCGGGGGCTACTGCCGGTCCCGAGCCCGGATAAAGGAGGAATGTTAGGCATGGGGTTAGCGTCCTCATCCCGTAGAAAACTAACTCGCTAAAAAAACGCTAACCAGAAAAATCAAGGTCACTCAACGGTATTTTTTTATTACTTGGTGACCACACTTGGTAATAATGATAATGGTAATAGTAATGTTAACAATAGTAATAATAACAGTAATAGTATTAGTATTGCTAACAACAATAATAATAGTAATAATATTAATGGTAATGGTAGTAATGGCAATAATAGTAGTGGTAGTAATGATATTGATAGTAATAATAATCGTAGTGATGGTAGTAGTAATAGTGATGATAATAATAGTAATAGTAATTATTATTTTTACTTAAACACATAAACATAAGTGCAAGAAGGCACCAAATGGATATGCGCAACATAAATCATTCGATTTGTGTGAAGGATGGGATACTAAACGAGTGTTCAAATTGAAAAAGATGATTTCCTTAGTGGGTCTCAGCCCGAGCCTGTAACCTAAAGGTCTAATCCATAAGGCAATGGAGCAACGTCAGGAGATGCAGTCCCATAATAGCCAGTGACCAACAATAGGTTCATACACCATTTGTCCCCTCGGTGTCCTGGAGTCCATGTGCACCATTAATTTGTAATGAGGGTTTTCCAACTGTCCTAGGTGGACTGTCCGTGTCAGTCAACCCGGTTATAGCACCGGACATTCGCTTTTCGTCCTCTGAATTTCGTAGACAACATTTATGCCGCGAGAAGGCAGTGGTTGTAGGCATGTGACCATGTGAAGGCATTTGGGGGCACATAATAATAGTAATAGTAACAATAGCGATAGTAATAGTAATACTGACTGTTGGAGTGATCCAGAAAACTTCTCGCAAAAGACAAGAAAGGCTCAGGAAACATTAAGAAACATTTCATCCAATCAGCGTTAACTTGAAGTTTTAGCCAAAAACATCAAGAAAGTGAAAAGTTACATGTAGAGTTTCTGATTGGATGATTATGTATACTGCTATCATGTTAAGTAGCATTCCAGAATCTTCAGGAAACCCAAGGATATCTAAAATACTATAAAAACTCTATATTTTCTGTATTAAAACGAACCTTTGGAGTAAAGTGCTTCTTGTATATCTTGCGCCTTTTCTCTCGTGTTCAGGTGGCTGGGTAGTTCTAGCTCAGGGTTCAAGAACCGAATATAACGTTCAATTAGCAAGACTTATCAGTGACATCAATAATAATAGTGGTAGTAATAATAATGATACTATACTGATACCCTTAGTGAAAATTAGTCGTTAACTCTAGTTTCTGGCCTAATTTGTTTCAGAGAGAAAAGATCAAATTGTAAGTGAATGAACCAATTAAAAGGAGAACAAAGAAAAAACAAACAAAATAATTGACTTCAATTAAATTGAACAAGTAAAACACATCATTGAGGTTATTTAATAAATAATAATGGATTATATTTACAAAATATACTCATTTATAATATATGTGGGTGGTTATAGGAACCGATAACAGAATGGGAAAAAAAGATTAATACCTCTTCCCCTCCCCACTCTTCCCAATATCTATATTAGTGAGAGTATTATTAGAATGGAAAAAAAAATGAATACCGCTCTTTCCTGCCCCCCCTCCCAACCAACCAAGTAACCAAACACCCACCTACCCTCTTCCCAAAGTATTAATAAACGTTAAGTAAAAATGAGTTTTCATTTAATTCACTGAAAGATTAAATATGATTATGTTTAAACAAAATTTATTATACATTTGGTTATATACAGTTACTATGATTATCTTTATATATGGATATGATGATCCATTCTATATGGATACTGAATATCCAACATCACTATCCCCACCACCATCATCATTACTGAAATCAAAGAAGACTAATTCTATTTTTCAAAATTTACATACATTCTATTGGATAAATGGAATTGATTCAAGGAATCCTTATAGAGGATATTATGAATCTTATATGAATAAACGGAAATATTTACATCATCATGATCATCACCATCGTCGTCGTCGTCGTCTCATCGACGTCATCATCAAAATCGTCAATTTTTATCATTACAAACTGATTTATTTAAATTACTTAAAGGTAAACGTAAAATAAATAATGATCATGATATTGTAATTGATCGATTATTAAATAATGAAATATTTAAATTAAGAGGTTGGAGACCACAACGTTATGGATAATATAAAGGTAATATTAGTTGCTATGGCATTAAAAACATTTATAAATGTATTGATTTGTAATACTGATAATGGATAAATAAATAAAAATATCAAAACTGGGCAGTTCAGTTTGAATTCACAGTTCTTTGTGTATTTGGAAAGGAATAAGCAACTCCTTAAAATTTTTGATTGAAACTAATAAATGATCCAGAATGTGAATAATGATCGGGCTCACCAGGGTAGATGATCTATGTAGAATGATTGGAGACTTAATCGAGTTAGACGGGAATGGTGTGACGAACCAGCTAACATCGAAGTCACACTACGTTGTCAGCACTTTACTTGGATTAGCCCGTTGATGTATCAAGGTACTATAGATACTTTGAAGACTGTACAACACAAAGGACGTTATTACAGAAATATATTAGTTAAAGTAGATACAAGCGAAATTAAGACCACGGTCGCATGTGTCAGTACATGGAGTACGATTAACTGATGCGCGTTGGTTATCCTTGATCTTGACAGCGATCGACTCGATATTCAGTGACCCAACTGCTGGATGATTTGGCTAGGGCTCAGTGACGTTTCACTGGCCCTACACTGGCAAAGGATTGGCTCGTTTGAAGATTACAAATACACCTATCTGATTGATAAAAAACAGCAGTACCAATCTTAAGTTCTTACTTCTTTAATCCGGTTGTGCTTTTTAGCTCAACCCTCCTTCTTAAGTGGGGCTTCGAACTGGTAGTAACTCTAAGAGAGCTACAGGTAAATTTAATCTTAGGTTCTGGTTTCAACATAAGTCTGTTACTCTGATGTTATAAATTGTACTATAATATTCAAATTATCAATGACAGTATTTACCATTGACCAATATCACTAGGAAAGTAACTGAAATGTTAAAGTATTTGTGGCCTATTGACAATATAGTCTTGTGGTTTTATACAGTAGTAAATTTATTAATATCAGATGTCATACGTATTATAGCTTGTGGCCTTCTACCCTATTTATATATATGACAGAATGATACCGTCAATTAGAGAACAGCGGTTTATCGACCGAACCGTTAATATATACACCCGTACGAACAGTCTAGAGTCTTTCGGTCCTTCTTCCTTTCTAGCTCTGTTTGCCTGTTGAGTCCAGAATACCAATCTCAGCTTCAGTGATATGAATCATGGATTCCAAACATACTGGGTTTATATACAAACCAAACAGATCACATCACATCATTAATTAGTAAACAAACATCTGTACAAGATTTAACCGAATGTGACTGTAAATATGGGAGACTATCATTCATAGACTAGGCAGAACTCAGCAACGGTATATCGTATAATAATAGTTTATAGGTCACAATGAAGCTTATAATTAGAGGAACATGAGTATGAATAGTTTAGTTGCTTAACAATTATACAATCAAAATATATGTATAGTACTAGTCCATAAATGAATTCCAACAGTTATTATTCCTAATTCTCGTCCAGATATGACAATACTGAGTAAATTTGTATTCTCAATAGATAAGTAATCGATTTCAATCATATAGATCGTCAAAATAGGATCACAAACTATGATGGTTAGGAATACAAACAATTGGTTTATACTTGACAACATATATGGCTTACAAAAAATTTAAGATCATGATACCAATTTAATGATCATAACTACAAATGAATATACATTAGCATATATACAAAAGAAAGATTGTGTATAAGGATCTAATACAAGAACGAAGAATTAGTTAGTAGAAAGAAAGATATGAAGCGATTTTAATCTCATCATCTAAAGGAAGACAGTAAGTGTATACACCTACGTCATTGTGATCGATTCTGAGTCATATATCACCCAGAGTCTTCAACCATTGGTTATGATAGTCATGCGGACCCCATTTAATTACATGTCCTATGCATATAAAATGTTCATTCCCCCGTATATAAGTACTTTTATGACCTTATAAAATTTTGTTAAGAAGCCGTAATTTGTATAATTCAATTTGAAATGGCTAGGATTATCCCATTGTTGTTATTTTGACTGAAATTGGATAAGCCTTGATTGATATGAGTTCTTGTGAAGACTGTGTGCATATAGCCATTATGACACAGGTTGATATAGAATATATGAAATGTGGTTAGCAGAGTAAGCCAGAATGCGCATCTCGGCGCTTCAAATTGAATTAAATGTCCTCTCTGTTGCATAACTGTGTGACTATTTGAACTCAGTAGCTGGGTGGATAACGCGATGGAATTCAAAGTGAGCGGTACTGAGTTTGAGTCCCGGAATCAACAACAATTTGAGAATGTAGATATATCCAGCTAGCGAGTCCTAAATGGGACGAGACGCGTGCCTTGAATTCCGCTGCTAACCACACTCGATCTATTCGTAATTTGTGCAGTTAACCAAGTTGGCAGTAAGGTAGTCATTTCTGATGACAGTGATCAAGATGTTCTCTCGAATATATGACATGAATTGATAAAAGTTAGAGATGAGGACCACCGTACTCGAACTAAGTTGTTAAAAGGTAATGTGTTCATCATGTGAAATGAATTTCCAGGATTAATCCATGGTAGGATTTATATTGTGCATTGAAGGAGGTGCCCTATTCGAAGACGTAATAGCTATTCAATTGCTTTCTGGTTTTCAACGATAACCTTAACTAGTGTTAATCTCACCTCCACGAAGTACAAATAAACAGTAGTTGGTACTATATTTTTTTTCCAACAAGCAAAAATAAACCCCATAAGTGTATAGATGGGTAGTGGCTAGCAGTGGAATCCAGTTTGACGCGCGTTTCGTCCTATTTGGGACTAGTCAGCTGGATGTACCTGTATCTCATAGTTGATGCATAATCTGCGACTCGAACCCAGTACTGTTCGCTTCAAACACCATCGCGTTATCTACTTGGCTACTGATTTACATATGCCAACAAGAGACTGATCAATTGCAGTCCTAAATAACAATAAGAAGATTCAAGTAAACAACACCAAGTGAATGGACCATAAGTGTACATTCTTTGGATTGTTTCAAAAGGAAACAATTATAAAGAATACAGCATGTAAAATAAACTAACTATATCTAGCCAGTTATATAACCAAATGAATTTTAATTTAAAATGGATTGATCACTGGACGATGATCGATGTCATGTATATCAGATCGTTCTTAGTGCAGATCGAGTCCTATCGACCAAGTTGTAATGTGACCACTAGTCTAGTTAACCTGACATTGAGTGTACTATGTTAGGATAAGATAGTGGTTGGAGATAGTCAACAGGAAACTCTGGACCTAAATTTTTTGCTACTTGGCATTCATCAGTAAAATGTACCTGTAATCTTGAGGGAACTGATGCTCCCTGACAAATTCGATCCTATGTTATCCAGCTTCACAGTCACAGAGATTATCACTGGGTTATCCGGACCGCAACTGACCTCCTGTACGATTGTGATGTAATAATAATTGATTGATCACTAGATGGTGATCGATGTAATGTGTTATTTATTTGTTTATTTGAACACATAGATATTGGTACAAGGAGGCACCAAATAGATATGCGCCACATAAATCTCATTCGATATGTGTGAGGGCTGATATACTGCCCAGGTGCCCACACCGAAACAGGTGGTTTTCTTAGGGGGCCACAAACCGAGCATTCGACCGGAAGGTCTGATTCACAAGGCAGTGGAGCATCATAAGGAGATGCAGTCCCATGGAAGCCGGTGACCAACAACTGGTTCATACGCCATTTTTTCCAGCAGGATACTGGAGCCCATGTGCACCATTGATTTGTAATCCGGTTAGAGCGCCTGACATTCGCTTTTCATCCTCTCAATTTCGTAAACAACACCCCACCACGAGAAGGCAGTGAGTAGGACTTCCCTGGAAGGGGCTTTATACACGTGATCATGTGCGAGCATCTGGAGAGGGAGAGCGGACTCTTTCCACTCTCGGCCATACCAGGGCATTTGGGGGCAATGTAATGTTTGTCAGTTCCTTAATAAACTAAGAATTAACTATTTTAACCCACTGAATTATTACTTTTTAACCAACAGATTTAATCATGTGTAATCACTAATTTCCAAAAACAAACGGAAGTTATTTACTACAGGATACGTGCCTAAGTGTGTGAGTATATATATATATATATATATATATATATATATATATATATATATATATATATATATATATATATATATATATATATATGTGCGTATTTGTACAGGTAAACACATAGGAGAGAGTTAATACATTTAGAAATGAAGGATATGTAATTAGACATTGTGTAAAACTTCAAAACTCCTTATACAAAAAAAAACAGCCTAGTGATATGAATGCTGATAGTAACAGGCGTCAAAAATAGTTTATAGAGTCGGACAAGTTGATTAAATTTAGTTAATTAATGAAACATAACATAATGAAAGGTGGTGGAAATATGTGGATTGTTAAAATGTATACATATATGTTTGTATGTATGATTTACTGTTCACTTATTATTGGATTAGTTACTTAGGTCTGTTACCACCAATGGAGCATAAATCACCGATCAGCATTCTCCAACCCACTTTGTCATAGGCTTTCCTTTCCAGTTCTATTCAATTATTGTTTATTCTTCTCATATCTATCTCCATTTCTCGGAGTAATGTGTTCTTTGATCTACCTCTTCAGGATTCCAAGTGGAGGCTTGCCTTGTGACACAGTTGGGTGCTTTCCTCAATGTGTGTCCTACTAACTTTTAGAGCTTCTCCTTGATTTCTTCCTCTGTTACAATCTGATTTGTTCTCTCCCACAGTAGTGTCTGGCCAATGGATCCTAAGTATTTTGCATAGACAATTGCTAATAAACACTTGTATCTTTTGGATGATAGCTTTGGTAGTTTTCTAACTTTCCGCAATATACAGTAGAATTGTCTTGACATTTGTATTGAAGATGCTGACTTTGATGTTGGTTGAGTTGTTCTGAATTCCAAATGTTCTTCATTTGTAAGTATGCTGCTCTTGCCTTGCCGATTCGCGCCTTCACATC